AGAGAGAGAGAGAGAGAGAGAGAGAGAGAGAGAGAGAGAGAGAGAGAGAGAGTGTTCTCTTGTCCAACTCGTATCAATAGTCTCCAGTCTGAAGAAGAAGAAGAAGAAGAAGAAGAAGAAGAAGAAGAAGAAGAAGAAGAGAAGAAGAAGAAATCTGAAGAAGAAGACGAAGAAGTCTGAAGGAGTCTGAAGGAGAAGAAGAGAAGTCTGGAGGAGAAGAAGAGAAGAGGGGCAGAGCATTGGCGGAGAGGGCGGGTAGCTCCAGGCCCTACCTGATGGTACAAGGTGGCGCCTAGGCTGCTGCGGGAGACGGCTGTGCTGCTGGAAGCTATGGCGCTCGTGGCTGCGGTCAGGTAAGTCTCCCTGCTCACTCCTCCCTACTGCAGTGCGCTAAACTTAGCGCTGCAGTTCCCAGCACTGTGCTGAAACCAAAATAGCGCAGCGCAATCCTCCTCAGTGCCGCTTCTCCAAGGTACTGGAAAGGCCGCTGGACCGGCCTAAGTACCGTCCGGCGGCCGGTCGGCCTCAATGCTGCCTCAGCGCACCGTGATCTGAATCATCAAGATTGACGATTCAGATCAGACCGGCGAGCGGCAGCCTCAAGAGTGCCGCCAGGCCCAACGGTAATGTCGTTTGGGCCTATACCTGGGGGGCTGCAGGAAAACCAACCGGTGGCCTTAACGCGGTCTACCGGGAGAAAGGTCCGGCCTTTGGCTGCGCCGGCCTAAGTACCCCTTAGTCTAGTGGTCGGGTCCAAAAGGGACCCGTGTGGCATCAATATGTACCACCTGGGGACCAGCCTAGCATTTTTCAGCTTTGTTTTGCCTTTTTCTGCTTGGGGAGGTCGTTTCATTGGAAGGGCCTCATTCCACCACTCTCCAAATTTGCAAAACGAGACTGAATCCTCCGCTAGAACATGGAAATATACACCGCCATACTTTTCGTCATCTGCGCATGTGGAGCTTAGAGCCTTCAAAGCTCCAAGCTCGATTCCAGATGCAGGCCTCGAGTTCGAATCCAGATGCAGGCCATGAGCTCCAATCCAGATGCAACGCAGAGCTGTTCGCAGCATATTCGAACACAAGTACAGTGGTGAACAGCAGCCTGGAATGTTGAGTACTGGTGTGTAGGATGGGCTAAAAAAGGAGGAGGGGCACAGGTTGAATGGGGCACAGGAGAACAAAGTGGCCTGCAAGAAGGGGTGTTGGCACCATCCGGTTCACAAAATGTGCCTGTCCCACATGGGACTGTCTGGTCCAATCCTGCCATGTATACGCAGGATTGGGACTGGGGCGCAGCGTAGTCGCGCCGGATCCACTTGTTTGAATAAAAGTACTATGGATCATCCATGGTTACCCGGACTCAGACACCAAACAGATCCAGACTGTCCTGTCACTCCGGTGAGACTTGTGTCACGCATCCAAAGAGTCGAGATATCCAAACATGAACTAGATGACCTGTTGGGAGGAGGAGGAGAAGGAGGAGGAGGAGGAGAAGGAGGCGGAGAAGAAGAAGGCGGAGAAGAAGAAGAAGAAGGCAGAGAAGAAGGTGGACAAGAAGGCGGAGAAGAAGGCGGACAAGAAGGCGGAGAAGGAGGCGGACAAGAAGGCGAAGAAGAAGGCGGACAAGAAGGCGGAGAAGAAGGCGGAGAAGAACGCGGAGAAGAAGACGGAGAAGAAGGCGAAGGAGAAGAAGAAGAAGAAGAAGGCAGACAAGAGAAGAAGAAGAAGGTGGACAAGAGAAGAAGAAGAAGGCGGAGGCGAAGAAGGCGAAGGCGAAGAAAGCAAAGAAGGCGAAGAAGGCGAAGGCGAAGGCGGCGAAGAAGAAGGCGAAGGAGAAGGCGGCGAAGAAGAAGGCGAAGAAGAAGGCGGCGAAGAAGAAGGCAAAGGTGGAGAAGGCGAAGGCGGAGTCGAAGAAGAAGGCGAAGGAGAAGAAGAAAGCGGAGAAGAAGGCGAAGGTGAAGGAGAAGAATAAGGCGGCGGAGAAGAAGAAGAAGGCGAAGGCGAAGGCGAAGAAGAAGAAGGCGAAGAAGGCGAAGGCGAAGAAGAAGGCGAAGGTGGCGAAGAAGGCGAAGGAGAAGGCGGCGAAGAAGAAGGCGAAGGAGAAGGCGGAGAAGAAGAAGGCAAAGGAGAAGGTGCCGGAGAAGGCGGCGGAGAAGAAGGCGAAGGCCGTGAAGAAGGCGGCAAAGGCGGGGAAGGCGAAGGAGGAGAAGAAGGAGGCGGAGGCGAAGGCGAAGAAGAAGAAGAAGGCGACGAAGGCGAAAAAGAGAAGAAGAAGAAGAAGAAGAAGAAGAAGAAGAAGAAGAAGAAGAAGAAGAAGAAGAAGAAGAAGAAGAAGAAGAAGAAGAAGAAGAAGAAGACAGCGAAGAAGAAGGCGAAAGCGAAGGCGAAGGCGAAGAAGGCGAAGAAGGTGAAGGAGGCGAAGGCGAAGAAGGCGAAGGCGAAGAAGAAGGCGAAGGCGAAGAAGGCGAAGAAGCAGAAGAAGAAGGCAAAGAAGAAGAAGGCGAAGGCCAAGAAAAAGAAGGCGAAAGGCGAAGCAGAAGAAGAAGAAGAAGAAGAAGAAGAAGAAGAAGAAGAAGAAGGCGAAGAAGAAGGCGAAGGCGAAGGTGAAGGCGGCGAAGGCGAAGAAGAAGAAGAAAGCAAAGAACACGGCGAAGGCGAAGAAGACGACGAAGAAGGAGGCGAAGAAGACAAAAAAGAAGGCTAAGGCGAAGAAGGCGAAGGCGAAGAAGGCAAAGAAGGCGAAGGTGAAGAAGGCGAAGAAGACGAAGAAGAAGGTGAACAAGAAGGCGAACAAGAAGGCGAAGGCGAAGGCGAAAGCGAAAGCGAAGACGAAGGCGAAGGCAAAAGCGAAGGCGAAGGCGGCAAAGGCGAAGGCGGCGAAGGCGAAGGCGGCGAAGGTGAAGGCGAAGGTGGCGAAGACGAAGACAGCGAAGGCGAAGGCGAAGAAGGCGAAGAAGAAGGCGAAGAAGAAGGCGGCGAAGACGAAGGCGAAGAGGCGGAGAAGAAGAAGGCGAAGAAGGCGACGACGAAGAAGGCGAAGATGAAGAAGGCGAAAGCGAAGACGAAGAAGGCGAAGGCGAAGGCAAAGAAGGCAAAGGCGAAGGAGAAGGCGAAGGCGAAGGCGAAGAAGGCAAAGGTGAAGGCGAAGAAGGAGAAGAAGGCGAAGAAGGAGAAGAAGGCGAAGAAGGCGAAGGCAAAGAAGGCGAAAGGCGAAGAAGGCGAAGGCGGAAGTCCACAACGAGACGAACACGACTTATTCAACGCCGTTGAAGATACTCATCGTGAAGAACTCGCTGCGAAGACTCAAGCTCGTCGTGGAAGGGGATCACTGGGAATAGAAGAAGAAAAAGAGGGCGGCGAAAGCGGCGGAGAAGAAGAGGAAGGAGGAGGAGGAGGAGAAGAAGAAGAAGAAGAAGAAGAAGAAGAAGAAGAAGAAGAAGAGGGCGGCGAAAGCAGCGGAGAAGAAGAGGAAGGAGGAGGAGGAGGAGGGGAAGGAGGAGGAGGAGGAGGAGAAGAAGAAGAAGAAGAAGAAGAAGAAGAAGAAGAAGAAGAAGAAGAAGTGTGAAAGTAATTTTGTTTATGCACTGGAACTCTCTCTTGGATGGCAACAGGAACACAATCCTACACCAAATGTGGCAGGCACTGGCCTCTCTCCACACACACACACACACACACACCAGTTTTATGTATGTTTGTATTTCCTCTTTCTGTTTTTTTTTTTTTAACTTTCTGCGTCTACGTGGGCACCAAACAGTCGATGGTCGGTAATTTGGACGGCCTGCAGGACTCTTAGGGGGGTGCTCTGTCTATGATGTCTGTGGTGAATGAGGTCTATGTGTGGATCATAGACGTGCGTCCGAGCACCTTCCTGGATCAGTAGGTAGTGGGAACAAGCAGTCTGCGGGATTCACCCGTGATGTGAGTAGGTGATGTGCCACTTTGCTCCGTGTTGGATGTATAGACTGCCTTGTCTACACTCCGCCTCTGCCTTGCTGCCCGTCCTGCTGGCTTTGTGTGTTGTTCTTTGCAAGCTGCTGTGTTCACTGCGTGGTGTGGCTTTGGTGTTGGTGTTGGTTTGTGCTTTGCTGCTCTGCTACCTTGCTGCCCATCCGCAAGCCTTGCCTTCCGTGTTCCGTTGCTTGTGTGCCATGTAGTTTGGCTACCTTGCTGGTGGTGCTTTGGGCTTCACTGCATGGTTGCTGTGCTGAATGTCCACTGCCATGTGATTCCTTGCATTTGTCTTTGGCGTTGTGCAGTCATGTTGCCTCGGCAGCGTTGCCTGGTGCTTTGCTGAGTTGCTGCCAGCTGCTATGTTCCGCTTGGGGACAGTCTGCCTTCAACATGGGTCAAAGGGTCTATGACCCAAATCATCAATACAGGCATTCCACGGATTGTTGAGGGTTCAGCCTCCTGATGAGTCCTTTGACGAAACAATATATCATCATCAGTTTTTTGAACTTTTTCAGTCTTTTTTCTTTTTTTTTTCTAAAAAAATAAAAATACGGTCTGTCTTCTCCTCAAATGGGGGACAGCCATATTTAGCTACCCTATTTTTTTAGTATTTTTTTCTCTCAATGTCTAACCTTCCTTCCTTACTCTACCTACTTTTTGCCTACCTGCTCATTTCAGCATGCGACCTATCCACCCAAGGCAACCCAGCATCACAACCCAAGACCACCAGGCACCAGACACCCCAAGCGCAGATAGCAGGCCAAGAGACTATGGACTAGGTAAAGTAACCAACAACCTACTCTATGCCTAATAATCGGAGATAAGAACCACTTTTTTAAACCACCAGTACTTCGCCCAGCTATCGGTGCCGAGCCTGGAATGCCCCTGCGCGCCAATTTTTACCGAAGCGCCCGGGTGCCGTTTCTATTTTTTTTTGGCTGGTGCTTCCAGCCATTTGTCGTCTGGTACCCCGAAGCCCTAAAGGCGCGGTGCGTTAACGGGAAAGCGCCGCGGCCGATAGCTGGGCCAAGTACTGGTGGTTTAAATACCCTCACCTAAGCTAAGCTATCGTACGGTTATGGGTCTACGTCTACCACCCTCTGCTCAGCGTGGGGAGCAGTACCCAGGTTGCTAACACCTGGCGTACGCCGGAACAACGTTCCCTAATGAAACGGTTTCACCCAGTTGACTCGACATTGTAGACACAGAGATTCGATCCCCAGACCTGTGCACTAACCCTGTACATTGAACCTGTGTGCTGAGTGAGATTCGATCCCTAGACCTATCCTATACCTGTACATAGACCCAGTGACCTGAGTAGGATTCGATCCCTAGACCTGCCCTACGTCCCAGGCTAGTCTGTAGGTCTGACAGCAGGACTTGATCCCTATGGCTGTAAATTAGGAGTTAGGTCTGTTACCATTAGGCTTAGGAAGGTCTGTTCTAGAAGTCTCTATCTGAGTCTACTGAGGCCTAGAGTCTGTCCGTAAGTCTGTAGGCTCTATAAGGTCGTAGGTCCCTGTAGGCCAGTCCAGTCAGCAAGTACCAGGGGTAGGGGCTGCACGTGGGGAAGGTCTGGACCACACTGTGGGTTCCACACGTTTTGGCCAGAAGGCCAAACGTCTGCAAGCTTCCCTGGGCCACACGTTTTGGCCCAGGCCCACACGTTTTGAGGCAGGCCCGGGTACCTCCGAAGAAGTATAAATAAAGAGGCAGCGTCCAGCCATTCATTCATTCGCCTGCGTGCCATGCGGAAGAGCTGCCTTGGTATCTAGTGCGTGGAGGTCTGCAGGTGCCCGGAGAAGAAGTGGGCTGTGAAGAAGACAGCGGCCATAGCGAACCAGCGAGAGAGACACCGACGGCCACAGCTACCGTCTTCCCCCGAACATAACGCACCCTAAAAATGAATGTATACAAACTAAAATTCCAGCCAGATACAGCCAAAATAAGGGACATTGTGTTCGGGGGAAGACGGTAGGAGGAGGAAGACAACGGCGGCCATAGCCGCCAGCTGTTGGTGTAGACAGGGTGTACAGAGTGTGTGTGTCTGTGCAGCGTGGACATTCAGGGTGAACCTCGTACATGCGTGCCTGCGAGAGTGAGGGAGAGTGAGGCTGGTGGTAGAGACAGTGTTCGGCGGCCATAGCTGCAAGTTGTACAGTTGTTTTGAACAGAGTTTAAGTGCAAGTTCATTGTTGATTCTGAGTTAAGAGTTTGGTTTCGCCATCGGTTCTTGTGTATGCATGCTGTGAGCAAGTCCAGAGTCGAGTCGGATTGCACTAACCAGCCAGGAGGCCCAAAGCCGATAATCTCTGCTGGTGAAAACCGGAAGTATACCCCCAGCAGGCCGTGGGAATTGAAAGGATGATGTCAGGAATCAAACCCACAACCTCCTGAGTGCCACTTACGTGCTAAACCAACTGAGCTAGCCCGATTGGGCTGTTTCCTTTTTCAGTCTTTCCTTCTTTTTTTTTTTTTTTTTCTTTTTTTTCTTTTTAATAACAGGTCCTTATGGCCCTGGCTCCATATCCATTTTGGGGAGCGACAAGGTCCTTATGCCCCCGGCTCCATATCCATTCTGGGGAGCGTCAGTCCGGTTCCTATTCCCCCGGCAAGTCAAAAGAATACAATAGTTTTACCCACTCAACGCTTCCTTCCGTCTGGCCGAAGGAACCCTGACCAGCATTGATTACTCCTAAGGAGGATTGACTGTCAGCTTGCCCTGATCACTTGTTCCTCTCAGGCTTCTAATCAGAGGCTGTCGAATGAGTCCCTGCAATGCGAGAAGAGTGGGGGGGTCCGCTCAGTGTTCTATTGCTTGTCCTTGTCCTTCATTGTGAGTCCGGTTTGCCTTGTTGCTGTGTTTGAGTGACGTCTGCCCTCACGCCTCCCACGTGCCCCGCCTTTGTCCCTTGCTGCTGTCTGTTGTCCCAGGCTTGAGTTGTCCTTCAGTACTTGCACTTTGCTTTTGACCTTCCTTGCTTGTGCGCTTATGTCTGGTCTCCCCTCCCGCCACCCCAGTGCCCTCAGCTTTTATGTTCACTTCACCAGTTTTTTCTCTTGTCGTTTCCTGTTGCCCGTATCATGTATTGTCTGCTGCTTTTGCTTTGCTAACTTTTGCCTGCCTGTGTGTTCTCCTTGTGGACCTTACCCGTGGGTTGTCTGGTAATTCTGAGCATAGGGAAGGTACCATGAGCATGGAAAGGATGGGCAGTAGACAGTATACGATAGGTTATGGCTGGACCTGGTGTTACCACTGTAATTGTGGAGTGGCAGCCTTTATGTTAACTTCACAGTTTTTTCTCTTGTCTTTTCCTGTTTCCCGTGTCATGTATTGTCTGCTGCTTTTGCTTTGCTGCCTTTTGCCTGCCTGTGTGTTCTCCTTGTGGACCTTACCCGCGGGTTGTCTGGTAATTCTGAGCATAGGGAAGGTACCATGAGCACGAAATGGGTGGGCAGTAGACGGTATACGATTGGTTATGGCCGGACCTGGTGTTACCACTGTAATTGTGGAGTGGCATGGCGAGTACGTCGTGAGATTGAATGAAAACACACACACCCTTTCCGGCTCACTCTCTCTCTGGCCAATTCCTCCTGCTCGCCACCCTGCCACTCTCTCGTCCACGCACACACCCTCTCTCACACACACACAAACATACACAAATACCCCTCTCCCTCTTTCTCTCAACCTCGCCCCCACATGTTTGCTCTCACCATCTCTCTGGGAAGAAGAATCATCAAAGAAGAAGAAGAATCATAGAGCAGGGGGAATCCAAAACGAAGAAGTAGATGAAAAGTTGAAAAACAAAACATGAGAAGACATCCACAGAGAGAGAACGGCCTGCCGGTCAGAAAGTCCTCGATTGAGGTTTGCTGGCAGCCATAGCCGCACAGCTGGGTGCATCCAAACCTTTTTTTTTTCCCGCATAGGCGCTCGTTAGACTCCTCGGGCACGTAAATCCCAGAGGAAAATTTCGTTCCGCCTATCCTCGGGGATGAAAACGGAAAAAAATGTGAAAACATTTCCTTGGGGAACCCTCGGGGCGTCCTCGGGCTACAGCCATTTGGTGGCATTCCCCAAGGGACCTCCCGAGGTCCCTTGGAGGTCAAGGATCCGCGATAATCGGAGCGGCAAGGGCACCCGTTGTCGGCAAGACATTTTTGTCGGCTGGTCCATTGGAGTTCCTATGGACAGCGCACGGACATCTTGGGTCTTCAACGTTCGGCTTCCAGGAACCTTACGCCAACGGTAACCGTTGGTGGCCGGCCTGCCCCCGCGGACGTCATTGACCAGTGTTCTCCCTCGCAGTGCGTGCCGCCAAACGAAAAGGGGTCGAACGGTCGGCAAATTTGAATACTTCAGCCGACCCCCCTTGTCCCGATTGGCCACTGTATTCCGCGATGAAAAACATTACAAGGCGTTTGTCCCATGCTGCAGTCTGCCGCTTGCAGCCCTCTTCGTCGCCGTTTGCTGGAGGTGTACCGTCATCGTCTAGCTACTGCCCTTCCCCACTTGCCTTTCATGGCCAAAGTCTTTCGAAGGCTGCCGCTGCTGCTCCTGGTCATCCTTTTGCTTGTCCTTGTCATCTTCTTCCACGTCTGCATCCTCAGCAGGGTGCCTGGACGTACACGTAAGAGGCGGTCTGCGAAGAAGGACATCAGCATGGACGGGCGGCAGGCGAAGAGCAGGTCTTCAGTGGACCACTCCAGAATCCACCGCACAGGCCACGGCCCGGCTCGCAGTGCACGGGCGTACGACCCGTTAGAGTGCGTGTGTCGCATGCTGTCCTCTACCGTCTGCTCCCTTCATCGTCGCCGTTCGGTGGACCTTCACCGTAGTCGTAGAATTACGACCCTGTCGTACGTGTTGTTGATGGCCAACCTCTATTGAAGGTTGCCACTGCTGCTCCTAGTCACAATTTTGCTTGCCGTGGTCCTGATGTTCACGTGTGCTTCCTCTATCATTGATGGCCGGCCTCTATCGAAGCCTCGAGCAGAGAAGACGAGGGATCGACATCGACATCGGCAGCGCATCCTGCGGGCGTTCGTCCACAGTGGATGCAATCGCCATCGCTTGAAAGACGTGGCATTTCCTGAGATCCTCCCACAAGTACTCTGTCACATCATCGCATTTCCTGAGATCCTCCCACGCCCCCCCTGTCCTCCTTTTCATCCACCACCTCGGCGTCGCTCGTGGAAAAACACTGCAACCCATGGTGCAGCAAACCTGAACTGCAGCCTCGGTGATGGCCACAGTATCCAGCCCTTCGACCGGGACTTGATGAAGCATCTTCCTCCTCCGTGGGCGGATCTGCGCTCTCATTCTGCCCAACACCCTGTCCTGCTGACAACGAAAGAGCATGGTCATCACGGCCGCCGCCACGGCCGTCTTCTTGATTGCCGTCAACTTCGCACGTCCGTCGTCGCTGCCGCCCTCCATCTGCACGTGTGTTGCAATGCTCAAGAACCACGAAAATACAACAGCCTACCAACTCGCCACGACCACGGTAACCTCAGCGCCAAGTCCCCGACGACGTTCCCCGCGTGCGGTCGACTCAACACATAGGCGCGGCGGCATGCAGCGGCGATGGTGAAGGACCTTTGCAGGGCACTCACAAATTTGCGACGATGTACGAGGACTCCACTGCACCGCTGCAAATGCCCGTTTCCACCGTTGCAGATATGGATGCCACCTGCCCTGCATCGCTGTCGTGACGTCCACCACCCAATTTGAAATTTGATTTTCGAATGGGGAGGTCCATTGCTTTTTAAGGGTTTTTTTTTTTCCAGTCGCCAGCGCCTTTCAAAATTTCCCACCTTCGGCAGCTGGACCACACTGTAGCAAGACAGACATCACCCAATGGACCAAGGCATTGCTCCCCCTGCGGCTGACTATAATATTATGAAAATGGCTGCCGGAGGCCGAAAGGAATCATCCTTGGGAGACCACCCCAAGGATAGGTGGAAGGACGACAGAAATTTCCTTCGAAACCCCCAAGAGGATGCCCCAAGGAGTCTCTAACGAGCCCCATACACACTTGTTGTATAAGACGTGGATTTCCGAGCAAGTCCTCAGGAATTCGTTAATGTTGCAATCAGGGCAATGTGGCTTGACGGCAAGTAATCCAGTTTCTCTCAGCACTTAGCCTGGCTCACACATTTCGTCACACGCTGGACAGTAATGGTCATTTGGCATAGTCGGTCGTTTAATGAGCGCCCGCTGATTGTTGCCCATGCAGCTACTTTATGCAATCACATGCCAGAATTTGAAGACCCTAAGCATATACTTCATACAACCTGCCTATTGACTTAGGAACCTCAACGCTTACCTAAAACCAGTACACCCCACACAGCTTGCCTTCAGAGATCCTCTCTTGAAGTATCAACCTGACAGGGATAGGGTCTACACGGGGTTTCCAAGCCCCTTCGCAGGCCTGAAACCCTATGCTCTCCACAAGAACCATGGGGAGCCTTTACTCCAACAGGTTCTAATTACTGGTTGCATGTACCAGTGTTCCTACTAGACCAAATTGACACCAACAGGAAAGACAACAACTTATTCTAGGAAGAACCGACAATATCCAAACATCGATATGCATGACAACAGCAAAAAGAAGGGTTAGGGACTCTGAGAAACTTGACTGCAACTTTGCTGATGAAGATCGCCACGTTTTTTCCTTAATTCGCTCCATTCACTTTGCAAGTTCTCCTCCCCCTCCCTCACTTCTCGCCGCTGCCAATGTGCGCCCGCTGGCCGTAATCCCAATACGCCGGCCTTACAAGTCAAATGCTGCTTCGGAAGTCCAATACCACTGCATTGAGACCACCATGCATCGCTCACTCGCACACAACTCTCACACCTTCAGACACACAAGAAGGACACTTGAGAGACCAATTCAAAAAATAGACCCGGACAAGAAGTTCTTAGAACGATCTTAGAACCTATTTATGAACCCCGTTTTTCCGCTTGTTCACATGGCTTCAGGCCAGGACTCAATGCTCACACGGAACATAATGTTATAATGGGTACCTTTCATGGTGCGCAATGGTATATCGAGGGATCCCTAGAGACAAAGGCCCTGGAGCCGTAAATCATGGAACTCTGCATAAGATCATCCGTCGAACAATCCGAGATAAACGTATACAAACTAAGCCGCTCTGGACTACAAGCTTTTTTTCATTTGGGCATGACAACTGGGTCCACCATAGGTTGACTCATCCCCTTCCCCTCGTACTAGGGATGGAATCTCCCAGTTCTCTCCAAATCACTAATAATGGATAGGAACTGAACTGTCTCACAACCTATGTTGGTCACTAGCCCACTTGAGCCTGTTGTTCCTCAATGTCCAACATAAGTAACTGACTTGTCTTCCTCATCACCAGTGGCTATGGCCGCCCACACGCCACATGCAGATAACTCTCTCTCTCTCTCTCTCTCTCTCTCTCTCTCTCTCTCTCTCTCTCTCTCTCTCTCTCTCTCTCTCTCTCTCTCT